TAGGATACTTGTCATATCTGAATGCGACCATGCAAAACAATCAATGTTAGATTTAAGAAAATCCATATTTTTAACCTAAGTTCGGGACTCAACTCCATTCCTCAATGGAATTTTCTTTCCAAAAATTCTTCGAACAAGGCCACTCGTTCGAGCTTTTTCGCAGTTGACTTGGTCGCATTCGTCTCCTCCGTTACCTAAAAAGACCTCGGTACTTGATATAATTCCAATGACTCCTCGTCTTTATCATCTTCAATTGAGATGGAAGAAGGCACCGGTTCCTGTAATTGTTATTTGCTCATTTCTTTGACCTTGCTACAGGAAACGGTTACTGCGTTCATCTTCCTTATAGCCAATTTATCTCCTATGATCTGCTTGATCTATTCTGGTGTTGGAATTAATAGTTGATGGTAGGTTGAGGCACATCCTTCATTTCAAGTATCCATGACCTTCCAAGGATTATATTATAGCCCATGTCGCCATCTACTACTTCGAATAGGGTGGTCTTCGTGGCATAGGTAGGCACCAAAATTTCTCCTCGTGTGGTGACACTTGTTAAGTTGAACCCGGCCAAAAGCTTTGTTGCTGGAACTATGTTTCCGGTCAGCTTCTCTTACGTCAAAACTCTCCATTATATAATGTTGCCTGATCTTTCAGGATCCACCAATACACGTTTAATTTTAAAATCTAAAATATTAAGAGAAATTACCAAAGCATTGTTGTGCGGTAGAAGTAGTCCATCAGTATTATTTTCTGTGAAGGTGATGTCACCTTCTGAAATCTTTCAGATCCTCTTGCCATGAGTCACCGATATCTTCGCCTTCTTTTCTACCCATAACGTTACCTTATTTACTTCGTCTACTCCGAGGATCATGTTGATTGTCATTCGAGGTGATCCTGCTACCGGCTTTGATGGTTCTGCACTATCCCAATTTCACCCATAATTGTTCTTAGCGCGGTCGCTTAAAAACTCTCTGAGGTGACCATTCCTTAACAACGTTGCCACCTCTTCAAGAAAATGTCGACAGTCCCTAGTCTTATAGTTGTGAGTCCTATTGAATTCACACTATATTAGGATCCCTTTCGCTAGGATCCGATTGGATTGGTTTGGGAACCTAGCTTCTTTAATATTCCTCATCGCCGACACCAATTCTACCAGACTGATGTCAAAATTATAGTCAGATAATCTGGAATATGTCAAATCTCGAGATCCCGATGTCTCTTTCTCCTGCAACGATCTATTACTTCGACCACGATCTGACCTCCTATCGAAAGCGAACCTTTTCGATGACTGAAAACTTTTATTTCCATGCTCATTGGTCCTCTTGTAAGGTTGACAATGACTTCTAGAGGACCTCCGATCTGCATCAAAATTATTTATAAACTTATCTTGATTCCAATCACAATTCCGTCCTTCGGAAGACACCGCAGAACCTAATTGATCACTTCTATTATGATCTTTGACTCATAGAGATTGTGAACATCTGCCCATGTGGTTGCCCGAAACTCTAGAAAACTTTCCTTCAATTTCTGGGAGGCATCAGAACTCAATAGGTTGAGACCCTTTATAAATGCCTCCGATGTCCACTCATCCTGTACCGCTCGTAACAACATCCTTTCCTTCTAAAACTGGATCACGAACTCTCATAACAGTTCGTATTCTCCTTGGGATATTATGAATATATCAGCCTTTCCTTCTCCATGAGGAGCGCAAAACATAACACGAATTTGGTGCTCGCTAGCCAAAGATAGTATAATTTAGTTATCATCTCTACAAGGATTGAATTTAAATAGTATTCAATTAATTTCTAGATTTATGCTATTCAGGATGATTATCACTTTGGTTGGGATGATTAATACCTAAAATTAACTATGAAACTAAAATAATAAACAATTGATCACTGGAAGACAAGAGTTGAGCAATACTAAACTATTAATGGGAGAAATAAAGGTCGTGACAGGATAGGTACAAGATAGCTATCTAGGATCCAACTCTAGTTCAATTCACTCTAATATTCTAATGATTCTCACTAATTCACTAGATGATTAGTTCAAAGGTGTAGCCAAGACTCCTCTCTCGATTAAATTTTAACTCTAAGAGGTGAACTAATACAAGCATTGTAAAAATATTCAAGCATGCGTTAATGGACTGGTCTTTAGGAAAACGTCTCTCGAATATTCTCCTTAACTTGATTTAATCAACAATTCAACAAGCTCTTCCGATTACTTAAGAATCACTGAATTAAACCAAACAAAATAATGTAAAGATAATCACTAAAATATTCCTCTTTCGATTAAATAAACTGGTGAATAAAATTGCGAATAATTCAAAGCTCCATAAGCGAATTCAAGCAAAGAACTAGAGTTAAGATCCACAAATATCAATCAAAACACCATATCTGTCAAACCCTAAGGGAACTTACTCCATAATTATGGAGGAAGTCATCACGAATATAGTTAAAGAGTGAGAAAACAACAATCTAGCTTTACAATCCAAACTCCCATATTGAATTGATGGAAAGATGATGAAATCCTGTCTCTTGTAGCCTCCAATGTCTCCAAAAGCTTACAAGGTCAAAAGTCTTCTAAAAATCATGTTTTTGTGTGTATTTACACCATATAGAAATGGTCCCGGACGAAACTACCCTTTCCAAGCCAAAACAGAAAAAATACTCTAAGAATTTTGTACACGTGCATCGTGCCTCGCGCCGCACTATGCGATGTGGTAGTGGAGAAGTTCAGAGAGCACATTTTGACAGGCACCAGCAATTTACAGTGCCGCGCTGCATACAAAACTGCCCTTTCCAAGCCGAAATAGAAAAATACTCTAAGAATTTTGTACACGCACATCGCGCCTCATGCCGCACCATGCGATGCGGTAGTGGGGGAGTTTAGAAAGCACATCGTGCATTTTTTATAGAGTAAAATTATTTCTTCAATTTTTGATATCCATACTTGGCTCCCAACCCCCGAAAGCGTTCTCGGTTTAATTTTTTGGGCTTTTACTCAGATTTCAAAGCTCCACATTGTTCGATTTAACTCCAGCTTTATCTTTTTAACTCGGAATCACTTCCTGCGAGGCATAAAAAATATAAGGAGCGTAATTCACTATCGTTTAAGCTCAAACACAAGTAAAATGTAGTAATTAGAGTGCAAACTATGACTAACACATAGGTTTCTAGCCTATCATCAACACCCACACTTAAACTATTTTTCGTCTCGAGTAATCAAACTACACTTCACATAGAGACGATCTTTAATAAAAGAAACTTCCCTAACGCATCATGCCAAGAATATTTAAAGACGACTAAGCACCCGATCATAACATCCTAGCCTCAAGACTCGACTCAAAAGCACCACACATTTCTCACAACCTGCTCACTTACTCTAATACAGAGGCCAAAGTCATTGCCTATTCGTCGCAAGTCATGTGCCCTCATACCAAAAATAGAGAGTAGTTCCTCACACAATAAAGTTTAAGAATAAGTAGGAACTCAAGATAGAAAGAATTCACACACTCTCAGAATTAAGATTCATGTGCCACAAAAGTCGTACCATAGGCTTACTCGTAGTGTAATACTCTACTATTTGAGCTCATTCAGTCAAAGATCAAGTAGGACTTTAACTGATTATAATATAGGCTGCGGGACGGGCATGATATTTGAATATAGTGACTACACCTCCTTAAGCACTTTAATACATATACATTAACAATTTAACTTCACACTTGTGTTGAACCAAACCTCAAACTTTACACATAATAACATCAAGCTCCCAATATCTTTAAGCACAAATAAGATGAGAACTACCACTAGCAAGATGTCCAATTTTTTGTTCTTTCTAATACATACACAACTCTCTTTTTTCTTTTTCTTTGTTCTGATTGATTTTTCTTTTTTCTTTTTCAATTCCCTACATATGGTTCTCACAAATTTTCAACTAGTGCACCTTTCTCCATTATTCTTACTTCCACTCAAAAGCCAATCATACCTCAACTTAACTTTTAACAAGCTCATAATAAATTCAAGTGCTCAAGAGAGGTAAGAGGTTCAAACAGATAGTCAATTCAAAAATGGATCAGGTTTGTAGTGTGGTTACCAAAGAAGTAGGATTACAGACTAAAGGGGCTAACCAGGATACACAACAATTAGGCCGGTCATAAACAAATAATTGGCTCAACAAAAAAATACCTATATCACTCCTAGACTGAACAAGACTTCTATTTCGCTTTGCAAATATACGAAGCAAGTTCTAGACATCAATTGACATGCACAAAATATCAACAAAATCCTTAGACACACATTGGCACAAAACTCACTTAGGATCGAATCTATCCCGGCTCTCTAGTCAAAGCAATTAAGCAACATCAAAATCAAATATTTTATGGCATTTATACATGAGTCAAGAACTAAGTCTAGGCGTCACAACTAAGGCACTCACCATTCTCAAGGCACAACAAAGTCAAGAAAAACTATCTCCATTTAATACCATAGCACAAGACTTCTCTATTCCTAATAAAAGAAAAACTAACTACACCCAATTCAAGCAAAACACCTTGAAAATGAACCGCGACACAAAGAAAAACCAAGGAGGAATTATTACACTACCTAGAAAAAATAAAATATTTTTTCTTCGACTTTGATCCCTCAAGAATACAGTCGAGAAAATCTATCGTCGGGAAAAGTCAAAAAAAAAATCTTCAGTCAAAAGAAAAAAAACAAACACATATGTACATAATTACATCCCCCACCCCATACTTTAAATTGTGGCATGTCCTCATGACACACAAATAAAAAGCAAGAGGTAAAGAAAACTCCCCTAAATCATCTAGTCGGGGTCTGAGTCGAAGTCGGGATCTCCTTTGCACACCCGACCCAGTGCACCTGAGAGCTGCTTTTCTACCTTCGTTGGGTACACCCCACACTTATCCTGCTTACTCTCTCCAGTTCACTCCCTTAAGGCCCCCATTGCTCCTTCCATCTTGAAGACCACCCTTTTGTCCCTCACTCTGAACATGGCTGCCTTTCGTGGATGTCCAGAATAGCTCTGCCAGTAGCCAAGAAGTGTATCCCTAGAATCAGAAGGATCTCCCTATTCTCCTCCATGTTCACCATAATAAAGTCCACATGGAACACAAATATATCCACCCGAACTAGCACATCTTCCACTATTCCTTCAGGTATGATTGTAGTTTGATCCGCCAGCTGTAAGGACACAGGTATCGACCTGATTTCTCCAATCTCTCCCTCCAATTTTCTGAAAATAGACAAATGAATAAGATTAATTGAAGCACCTAAATCACACATAGATTTTTCAAACTTAATACTTCCTAAAGAGCAAGGTATAGTAAAACTCCCTGGATCTCCATACTTTTGAGGGAGCTTATTTTGCAGAATGGAACTACAATGCTTTGTGAGCTTGACAACCGATGTTTCTTCTGATTTTCGCTTGTTGGAAAATATCTCCTTCAGGAACTTTGCATAAGCTGGCATATGTGAAAGCACCTCTGTGAAAGGTATATTCACATGCACCTGCTTGAGCACATTTAGGAAACGCTCAAATTGTTTGTCCATCTCCTTTCTTCTCTGCTTCTGAAGGACAGGTAGAGCAGACATGCATTTGCTTTCCTCAACCTCCTCGTTCATTGAATTTCCATCCTTTTTCTTCTTCAAAGCTCTAGTCTTCCCCTTTTTCTTTAGACCATCACTTCACCTTCTTGAATGTTGTTATTTTTCTGCTCCTCCAAAATCTCCACATGTCCTTCAATCAACTTATCCTTTTGTTTTGCCCTGGGATCCTCCAATACATTCCCACTCCTCAAAGACACTGCATTTATTGTCTCTTTTGGATTTCTTTCCGTATCAACAGGGAGAGCTCCTAAAAACCTTCTTAGACAATAAATTAGCAAGTTTACCCATCTGTCTTTCCAAGTTTCGAATGGTTGTGCCCTGTTCTCTGATAGCCGAGCCATGGGTTTCAAGCCACCCATTTGTCTTAATAATAAAGGCCTTCATCAGATCTTCCATGCTAGACTGATTAAATACTGGAGGCTGATATTGCTGCCTCTGCTGATTTTGAAAACCTGGAGCTCCCTATCCCTGGGGTCTGGATTTGTTCTGTTGTCATGCATTCGCACTACCACCTGGTAAACTCCAAGGAAAATCTGGGTGCCTCTGCCCTATAGAGTTAAAATTGTTGCCACTTTGGTAGTTGCCCCTGTCAAAGATCCCCACAGCATTTACCACTTCATCTGTAGTCTAGGCCTGACACTCATGCATTGGATATGATTCATTCCACAAAAATCACAGAATGGTGATGGCTGGCTCTAGACCTTGGCTAAGGTTAACTTTCTAATCTCTCTAGCCATGATGTCTAGCTGGGCTTGCACTGACATGTCAAAATCTACCTGGAGAACCCAAGCTGATTTTCTTCTATCATTACTTTCAACAGGCCATTGGTTAGCATTTTCAGAGAGCTCATCAAGAATTGCAACAATCTCCTTAGGAGTCTTCTTCATTAAAGGACCTCCAACTGAAGTTAGAGTTTGTCGTGAGGAAGGTGTCAGTCTATCCCAAAAGTCTTGGAGTTGCATCCATAATTCGATTCCATTATACTGACACTTTCTCACTATTTCTTTGAATCTTTCCCAAGCTTTGAAGACCGTTTCAGTACCTTCTAGTCAGAAATTATGGATTTCCCTTCTAAATTCACTATTTTTGCAGCTGAGAAGTATTTGTCAAGAAATATATTAGTCATATCTTTCCATGTCCTGATCGACCCACTTGATAAGCTTCGAAGTAAGTGCTTTGCGTCATCCTTTAGTGAAAAGGGGAATGTCCTTAAGTAGACTGCATATTTTGGAAATCTGTTGTACCGGAAAGTGTTCATGATTTTCTCAAAGTCCATCAAGTGAGTGTTAGGATCTTCATTCGCCTTCCCCCTAAAGACACAGTTGTTCTAGATGGTTTAAAGCAAGTCATGCTTCAACCCAAAATTATTTGCTGCTATGAGTGGAGGTCTGACATTTGAAATTCCCTGATTGTAGACTAGTCTGGCATAATCACCTAATGCTCTTCCAGGTCTGGGCATATTATTTTCAAATTCATCTTCAATGAGAGGTCGGTTCAGGTTGAATCTTCGTTCCCCGTGCCCGTCAATCGTTTCATCAACTCTAAGAGCTGCTTCAGGAGCTGCCCGTGCAGTTGCTTCCTATTGGGCTGCTCCCGTGCAGCCAAATCAACTATCTCCTCACCGTCTTTTTCCATGTTCTGTTGGGTTGAAGATTTCCCCAAGAATTTTCCGGTGAGTGCTTTCTCTTTTCTCAGTTGTTTCAAGTGTTTTCCAACTCTGGTTTGTAAGGTATTACTTCTTTTGAAGAATATCGAGTCATACACCAACGAACTTAACCTTTTGCCTGCACACGGAAGAGAAAAACCATGACGAATAAAATAAAATTTATTTCTGAATTAGCACCAAAAACTATTTTGAACACTATTGATTGCCAATCCCTGGCAACGATGCCAAAATTTGATGAGCGCAAAACGCAACACGAAATTGATGCTCGCTAGCCAAAGATAGTATAGTTTAATTATCATCTCCATAGGGATTGGATTTAAACAATATTCAATTAATTTCTAGATTTATGCTATTTAGGTTGATTATCACTTTGGTTGGGATGACTACTAAGTAAAATTAACTATGAAACTAAAACAATGAACAATTGCTCACTGGAAGACAAGAGTTCAACAATACTTAAATATCAATGGGAGAAATAAGGGTCGTGACAGTATAGGTACAAGATAGCTATCTAGGATCCAACTCTAGTTCAATTCACTCGAATGTTATTATGATTATCACGAATTGACTCGATGATTAGTTCAAACGTGTAGCCAAGACTCCTCTCTCGATTAAATGTTAACTCTATGAGGTGAACTAATATAAGAACTGTGAAAATATGCAAGCATGCATTAATGGACTGGTCTTTAGGAAAATGTCTCTCGAACATTCTCCAAACTTGATTTAATCAACAATTCAGCATGCTCTTCCGATTACTTTAAAGAATCACTGAATTAAACCAAACAAAATAATGCAAAGATAATCACCAAAATATTTCTCTTTCGATTAAATAAACTGGTGAATAAAGTTACCAATAATTCAAAGCTCTATAAATGAATTCAAGCAAAGAACTAGAGTTAAAATCCACAAATATCAATCAAAACACCATATCGTCAAACCCTAAGGGAACTTACTCCATAATCATGGAGGAAGTCATCACAAATATAATTAAAGAATGAGAAAACATCAATCTAACATTACAATCCAAACTCCCGTATTGAATTGATGGAAAAATGATGAAATCCTGTGTCTTGTAACCTTTCATGCTCTCCAAAAGCTTTCAAGGTCAAAAGTCCTACCATGCAGGAACATGCCAGGACGAAACTACCCTTTCCAAGCCGAAATAGGAAAAATACTCTGAGAATTTTGTACAACCACGCTGCTCTGCGCCTCGCACAGCACCATGCGATGCGGTAGTGGGGAAGTTCAGAGAGCAGATTCTGACAGGCAACAGCAATTTACACTGTTGCGCCGCCCCATACGACGTGGCTGTGCTTTTTTTACAGAGTAAAATTGTTTCTTCGGTTTTTGACATCCTGACTTGGCTCCCGACCTCCAAACGTGATCTTGGTTTAACTCCTTAGGCTTTTACTCAGACTTCAAAGCTCCACATTATTCAATTTAGCTCCAGATTATATTTTTAACTCGAAATTACTTCCTGCAAGGCATAAAACACATAAGGAGTGCAATTCACTATCATTTAACCTGAACCACAAGTAAAATGCAGTAATTAAAGTATAAACTATGACTAAAATACGGGTTTCTAGCCTACCATCACTCTAGCATGAGTGTTGATAAACGCATATGCAAGCATTTCAAAAGAACCAATGGAGTGCTCAGGCAAGAGAGAATACCAAGTTAACGCACCCTTTGTCAGGGTTTCGCCAAACTTTTTCAACAAAACAAATTCGATCTCATGTTGGGCCAAGTTTTTTCCCTTTACCGTCATAGTGTAGGTCGTGATGTAATCCTGTGGATCCGAAGTCCCATCATATTTTGGTATATCCGGCATCTTAAACCTTTTTGGGATCAACTCTAGTGTTGCGCTTGGTTTTAACTACAACTGCATGTACTTCTTTAAATCTGGTCCCTTTAACACCAGCATCGCTCCCCAGATCTGATCTATCCGAGTATGGAACTCTTTAGCGTTTTGGTCCATTCGCTCATTCATTTCTCTCATAAGTCTCATGAGCTCGGTATTTAAAGGGTCATTTAAGTTATTGTTCCCAGGTCCACTATCGGTACTGATCACGCTCAACTATGCCTTATAAAAAAGACAATGCGGTCGTTGCAAATATAATCCGGTTTACAAGTCCGGAGTCGAATCCCACAGAGAACTAAGGCTTAGCTACAGCTGTTCACTATCACCAAGAAGACAAGCTTGAACAGTTCCTAACTTATAGATATTTAGATTCTTGTGTTTAACTAATTGATTAACAAATTAAAATAATAAATTAACAACTAAAGATACTAAGAGTTAGAGACAAGATTAAGGAGGTCTAGAGTTATGATTTCCCCAATTGTCGGAATCCTTCCCGCTATGTCTTCTATAATTTCACCTAAGTATTCTCTACCGATCATGAGCACTCTTATTACCGTAAATCTCTCCCGAGTAATCACGACAATTTACTAGACGCACTCTCCCGAGCTACGCTAGCTGGCTTTTGATACAGCTCACTTCAGATCGCACCCAAGGCTTCGTTATCCCTAATCCCGCCTTTAAACCCTCGGTTATTGATCCCTCATATACTCTGGGAGTGGTGTTGTTCAACAATTACCTAAATATGCACTCTCTCCCGAGTTATGCATACTAAATAGGCACAGCTAATTGAGAGCTCTTCAATTAACTACAATAAGAACGTAGTTGAACAAATAGAGATTATACTACGGCTCAATTATATAAAAACATAACAAGAATTTATCCTACAAAAGGTTCTATCAAAACTCTAGATAACAATTTAGCTATTCATAATAGTATGTAAAACTACAATACTAAAAGTCATAACCAACAATGAAAAATAGGAAGAGGAAAGAAAAAACTTGTAGAAGAATTCCCAAGCCTTGCTCCTATTGTGTCTCTGCCTACTTAGGTCAAATCTATGTAAAAAATATGTCCTCTCCAATTCTTAGCCGGCTTCTTTGGTTTAATATAGGGTTTAGGGCTTAAAATCCCGTGTTTTCCACTTTGGTCCCTGAAATTTACGCATCCTGCTGCGGTTCCACTACGGTCGCGGTCAAACCGCGGCCAAACACCCTCTCAGATTCTTCAGTTGTCCGCGACTGCCCTCTGTCGCGGTTCTGCCGCGGTCGCGCCAAAACCACGGTTTTTCACACTGTTCCGTTTGGAATTTAGAAAAACGTAAAACATAAAAGTTGTAGCCCTTTGAGTTATCTTTCCAACATATATTATGGATCCCAAATGGAGTTCTGAGTAAAAAGTTATGTCTATTGTACTAGACAGTGCGCAATATGCTTCTTCGAGTTTTCGTTTTGTTGTCTTATCATCCGTTGATCCCCGAACACAATCCCG